GTACCTATGTGTTTTTTTCCCTTTAATTAAACATTTAATTTTATCTTTTTAGCAACATTAGCTCTTATAACTTTGTTCTATTGATATTTTTAGTCTCTACATAAGGATTAATGATGTTAATAGAGCAAAATTAAAGATTTAGTTAAGAACAAAAAACACATAGGTATCAAATTGAAAATTGAGAGAAAATATAGGTACCTCCATATGGTTTTCCCTAATTTTTTTCTATAACTTCATAATTTAGTGGCGTAAATACTCCCTTTATATATATTTAGCAAAAAAAAGTAGGTTTTAAGTTGAATGACACTTATACATTCTAAACACGGAAAACTAAATAAAAGATACTTTAAATTTTATTGCTAATATGAAAATGTCAAGGTATAAACTATAGATTGCAGAAGAAAAATCTCTTTTAAATAAGTTTACTTCATTTAAAAGTGTTGTGAGTTGAAACTTCCAATTATTTATATATTGAAGGAACAAGTTAAGAACTCTTACCACTGATCGCCCTACTTAAATGGACGAAATCACGTCTTTTCATCATTAAAAATTATAATAGACATTTTCGTCCAAATTTTTTTCTTTTAAAAAAAAAAGCTAATGGGAATTGACAATCACGGGGTTTCACAGATGAAAGTTAATTTCCAATTGTTATCAATATTCATCACACAAGTGCTTTGACTAAAACCCTATCACCTACCTTTTTCTTTTTTCTTTTGGCCAAAAATCACATACCACCTACTTAAATGATAATGGCTCGCCTACTTTGACTGATACCTTCTAATTTAAATATTATGTATAACACTTCTCCTTAGTGACTAAGAAAGAGATGATGAGGAACCCATAAACATGACCAAAGAGCATTAAATATTAGATTAGATCGATAAAAAAATTAACTCGTTTTAATATAATCAAGAGTCAAGAGCAATTTAGTTTTTTTCCACTTTAAATTATTTTTAATCCTTCTCTTTTTTTCTCAATTTACCAAACTTCATGAAGTAAAAATATTTGTTTTTCTTTTTATGGATACCAAGCATTTTTTTCCCCATATTTTTGCATACCTCTCTCCATTTTGTTACAAAAATTTTCCTTCCACCCAAAAAAAAAATTTTTCGCTTAAAAAAAATCAGTATTCATAAGTAATATATGTAACTCGAACGTAGTTTAAATTTAAATTTTCCAGTAGTATTTTGAAAGAGAAGACGACATTCTACAATCAAGTTTAGGAAAAGTAACATCTTTCATTTTACTTAATGGGGCTTGTATTAACAGTTGTTAAGTGGAATTAAAATTATAACGTCACTAAGCCACAAAGTTATTAAGGGAAGTTATGTGTTTAGTACACAAGTTGGAAAAAAAAAATCATGCATTTAGCCCCAAAAAAATTATGTACGGGACTTTTATATGAACAAATAAACAATACACAAGTCTTAATTTCAATTATTAGATCTGAGGAATGGGACACCATGTTGTTGAGCAACCTTCATGATATATGCTTCTCACTTACTCAAAAAATTTATTTATTTATTGTGCTAACCACTAATACACTCAAAAAAAAAAAAAAGGACTACGTAATAGAGTTCTTCTCTATAATATATATCCGAAAGAATCATAAAATAAATAAATAAAGATGGAGACATCATTTTCATATTTTGTGAAAATATAGTCATAATCATGAATTTAAATTATTGAGGACCAAAAAGGTAAGAATTGTTTCAATTGAGGAGTGAGGACAAATCTTTACACCATCGAAATAAACATGAGGTTTAAAATTTTTATATAGCAGACATTTTAAAACACTTCGCGTAATTTTACCTCTGCTTTTTTTAACAAAAATGTCTTGTCACCTTTATATCGTATACGCAAATATTTTTTAAAAAAAAAATCATAGATATGACAACCAAACAACGACGCGTAGCAAACCAATGGAAATAACAAGACCTTCATCCTATGAAGAACACGAATAAAGCGAAAGCATTAGGAAGGGGGCAACAAAAAGGATTGGAAATATTTTTTTTAAAAAAATAAATCCCTAAGGATTCGTTTTCATATATCCTCTTTTGTTTCATTTGTTTGATGAGTAATAAGGCAAATGATGAACTACCAAATCTATTGGAGTTTTGAGTATGCTTTGTTAGCATATTTAATTATACGATTATCATTTAAGTTTGTTCAATTAGCAGCTTATATTAAATAAAATTAATGATATTAATAATTAAGGGATTGAAATGTACTACCTCATATACTTAATATAAAACCTTATTTGACTTTTATTTTTGTCGTAAAGATAGTACTCTAATCTATTTTGACTCTTATATTATCTATTTTTTTCAAGATAGTCCTTCTAATAATGGTAGTTCTAATCAATAAATTTAATTAGTAAAGATATTTTAGGAAAAACAATACATATTTATTACAAATAACTAACATAATTTATTTTCTTAATTTTCAAATTAATCAACTAGTTCTTATACTTAGAACAGGAAGTAGTACTGTATAAATTTAAGAGATTACTGAAATTTTATATAAATTTCGAGAAATTTGTTTATGATGCTTATTATACATTATTGTGTATAAATTGTACATAATTTTGACTAAGATAGCAGGGCTAGGCTGACACTATGATGATGTTTGGCTTGACCTTTTCTCCCTTCATTATTTTTTTCTTATTCTAAGTAAAAATTATTTAATTAATTTATTAAAAAAATTAAATAAATTAGTTAGGTTAATTATTTAACATTGTGGGCTAGTTTTTTTTAGAATGAAAATTTTTAATTATTTATATTAAAAACTAACCTCATACATTTTTTAAAAAAAATGTGCAATTAATATGGATAATGTAAGCAAAAATAATAAAAGGTTAATATAAATTTTGATCCTTCAAGTTTACTCTTGTTTTGGTTTTAATCCTTCAAATTTTAAATCATAGGTTTTGGTGCCTTAAATTTCTTTTTATTTAAAATATTAGTTTCTATAATATAATAAAAACTTGGACCATTTTATCCCTAAAGAAACCAAACCTATTATTTAAAACTTAAGGAACTAAAACCAAAATAAAACCAAATTTAAAAAACTAAAAATTATATTAACATAATAATGAATATAAATATAGGGCATATAAAATATTAGAATCGTATATTTAAAATTGAAATAAATTTCCTAATTAACTGTATGAAAAGAAGTTGTTTTTGTACGGTACACGGTCTCCGTAATTCAATGAGCAAATTTGGTACAATATTACGAAAGGTGTTCAAATTAAATGACCTGACCAAGCAAGACGTTGGTTCCAAGGTTCAAACCCAACCATACACAAATGACCCAATTTTCAAAAGTCAAGTGAGGACACAGCACAGCCACAGAGGTACTATGACTGACCCAATCCTGTCCTCTACTTCAGCCTTCAGGGGATAATTTGGAACACTCTTTTTTTAATTTCATATTTGGAGAATTATAATTGAGTCTCACAGGAAAAAAAATAATTATAAAAAAATCTTAATAATAATCTCAACAGTTTATAACAATAAGTTTTACAGTAAGAATGATAATTTTTTAGACTTATTTTTTAATCATTTTTCTTACTTAGGACTTCGTTATAATTCTCATTTTCATATTTTACCTGAAAACAACAGTGTAGGAGTACTACTCTACTAGCACAACTTGTCAGGTATCCTTATTATAACGTTAATTTTTAATTCTTATAGAGTGTTTAATGATTTTTTTTAATTTTATCCTTATTTTTTAGCCAAAAATTTTTTTATCCCTATTTAATCTTTGGAGGAAAGTGAGCAAGATGACAGGAGTGGGATCGCTCGTGAATTCTGAGGGAAAACAAATTTCATTAAGTAAATTTAAAATATTTTATGAATTTATTGATTTCTTAACTTTTTTTTTTTTGGATTAATCCAACGGTATTCAGCTCTAACAACAATTGACTAGTTCGGTTCGTGAAGATGCATGTTGATAGTGGGCAAAACTCACAAAAATAAGCATAGCAGAAGACATCTACTAATAATTGAAAATATGTTGTCCATGGTCAAAAAAAAGTTATATTCATTAAAGTTGAACCTGCTCAAAGACCTAGCTCCTTGAACAAATTTCAGATAACTTGCGTTATAAAATTTTCAATATCAAATAAATAATTTTCTCTCTTTTCTATTTTTAAATATTTTCAGCCATCCTAAATATTACTTGCTCTTTCAGTCCCAAGTAAATGATTCATTTTGTAATGCAACTTATTTTGTAGTGTACTCTAAAATGAGTTTTACAATTACGACCTAAAAACATATCTTGATTATTTTGATTTAATTCTAAATATAAAATCTCATTTATTATTATCTCCCGTGTTAAAATTTTCTTTCCTATGATGCCCTTTTACATGTTCTTTCACTAAAGGTAATGAGTCACCTTCAGAAATAAATAAGAGGTCCCACGTGTTAATCAGTTTGCATAAAAGGTCAATATACTTAATAGATTTGCATAAAAGCCAAGCTGCCTTTTTGAGGAGTTAGGAAATTAATTTTGCTCATACAAAAACTTAATCCATTTTTATTTATATTTATCATTTTTCAAATAAATTTATCTAGATATAATCTAATGCAAACACGTAACATCAAGAAATTTTAGTAAAACCATCTTACATTTATTAAAATTAAATAATTTAATTTTTTTAACCTGTCAAAATTAGTTAAATAATTCTTATATAACTCTTTTTTTGCATTAGAAAAAACCTTTTTTTTTTTTACCACGAGACTCACCCTGCCAACATAACTACTGCTAACATATTTCTTAAGCATATAATCAGGTTAAGGCTGTCATTAAATTCCCCCCCCCCCCCTATAGCTAGGGTGGGGACCCAACCTAGGTACACCATTCCAGAACACCGAAACATGTCCTCCATACTTGCACGGCTAAGCAACACCTTGCTTTTATGGCATACACATGTTCTTGTCCTCTCCAAAAGATCCCACTATTCTCTACCAACCAAATCATTCACAAACACATAACATGTAATAATCACCATAATAAATTCATAATTCACAAAAAGGGATCCATTACATAACTCCAAAAGTCTGAGTCACTCACTGCACAATGAACAATAATATTCTACTGGTAAAAGTCACACACACACGTACACATGGAATGAACAAAAAGCTAATCAGGTAAAGGTAAAACTCAGATCAGATAACATCATCAATATAGTAGCCCCTTAGCCTCAGTAGCATGTCATATATGTTCTCTTAGTATAGTGCAAAATGGAACAAGAAGCTCTCAAAACCCTGAGAATATGGCTGCAAATATGCAGACAAGCAATGATCCTGCTGATATTTGAGCCATGGCTGGTGCTGAGTTTCCGGGAGATGGTGCCGGTACTGCTCCTGTTGGAGATAGCTCACTCCCGGAGGGCCCGGACATTCCAGGGGCTGCAGCAGATGATGATGGGGACATTCCTAAGGAAGAAGAAAGGAAGAATCAGTAACCAAGCACATTACCCAGTTTTTTCATGTAGTAATGGTGTAATTCTACAAAGAACTCTGCTTCTCAAGAAGTTAAACTTTCTCACTGCTCCATTCATCTCTAAATTCTAACTAACTAATCTATCACAAACCACACATAATTGTGGGTAAATACTTCAGAGAGGGCAAGCACATTGATTAGCATGCAAAAGTTGACATTATTGCTGCAACTAAGGAACATTAATCAAATTGTATCTTGAATTGTTAATCAAATCTGCATTTCAAAAGTTATCTGCTAGAGCATACCGTAGAATGAAAAATTGATTACTTTATCATAAATCAAAAGAGAGAGTTAAATTCCAAGGGATGGAGAAATGTCAGGTCAAGAAGATACCAAGATAATACAGAATCAAGCTGGCCCCATCTTTGACTAGATTTTTGTCATGTTTTCGTAACAAGTTAACAACAAAATAATTGGCCTTATATCTCATCATTTGCTATAGGTAGGCTCAATTACATTAAGCAGAAGAAGACATGAAAGAAATCTGTAAAGCACAAGGACAAGCTATGATATGGTGACACTTTGGCCGAGTTACTCTCTGTGAAAGTAATATCAAGTAGATAATCAGTGAAAGAATGTTAACCCTACAAAATCACGAGGCTTCTGAAGCCATTCCAACTTGGCATATGACTTCAGTTTAATGTTAGAACTAAACCAAAGTGTAATAAAGAGTATGAAAATAATTCAATTTATGACCGGGAGAACCTACCAGGAGCACCAGCAGGAGCTACAGACACTGCAAAACAACAAAGCCACAGTTAGTTAATATCTGAGAAGAATCTAGAAAGGGATAAAACATCAAAGGAGACCCACAAAAAATTAGTTATTGCAGAAATGTAAGTTTTGACACATGTTCCCATTAAATATTTCATCCATACATTTTAGATATGCAAGAGGAAAAAGTTTTCACCACCAGAACGTCCCAATATTCCCCGGATAATCTCAAAATTCATTGTAAACAATTGTTTTCATGAACATACACCCATAAAAAACAACCATCCTGTGAAAAGTTTGAGATCAATTCTTCATCCCATGCAGAAATACCATTCCCCCCATAAAAAAAAAAAAAAGCTCTAATCAAAAAGGGAAGGTGTTAGGTAGAAATCTAGATTGATGTATTAATAAAAGGAGGGAGGGCAAAAATCAAGATTAATACATTCAGTGTTCAAAACTCCGAGAGTACTCAGAGACTCAGGGTGTCTCAGACATGAATAAAAATTAAAGCTTTCCGCAACAGAACAAAACAGAACACCAAATATTCTGAGAAAATACCGAAACAGAGAACTGTAACCTCAGAAACAAGAATCTTCACAAAAAGAGAAATCAGAGAAAACCCACAGGAAAAAAATTATAAAGAAGATGAAGAAAAACTCACATCCACAGTTAGAAAAAGAAGGGGCAGAGACTTTGCAAGCGGCAGGAAGAGTCATGGCCTTTGTGATATTCAAAGAGACACCAAATTGAGAACTGCTCTTGAAGGCTTGACAGATACAGTCAGGACTGGTCTTAAGCACAGTCTTGAAGCCAGAGCAGCATGAACCCTGTGGCTTCATGGTCGTGCTTCCGTTGGAGACGTAGGACAAACAATCCGCCATGTTCGATACCAGGCTCAAACAGTCCGGTGAAGGCGACGGCGCGTGATGTGCAGAAGACGACCCACCATGAGCCAGAGCGACGGCCCAGGCTGCCAAAAGGCAGAGAGCGAGGGAGGTCTTCGCTGCCATTGAGAGAGAGTGAGAGAGAGAACAGAGAACAGAAAGAGAATAGTGGGTGTGTGTGAAAAATGGGAATGTGGGTCTGGGAAAGTGGAGGAGTTAAATAAGGCGAAGTGGGAAGGATTGGGGAAGAAACGGGTTGAAGACGAATAATTGGAATTTGGAAAAGATGGTATTTTTGGGGTGGAAGAGAGAGGGGCGGGGGTTGTGCGAGACGTTGCTTTGCCATGCGGGCACAGTACAGCCGGTGAGATGAAATGCGTTTGTCTACGTGTCACCCAATATCACCCTCGCTGAAAGACATTATTCTGAAAAATGATCGTGTCAATTTTTTATAGACAAAAGTTTGTGAACAGGATGCTCACGTCAAAAAAACGGAATTGAAGGATATTTAAATCCATCATAATTTTGTAGGATATATGTCAAATTCGCATGTTATTTCTGGTTTTAATTATAAAATTTTATTTATAGTTTATAACAAAAATATTTCTTACCAATTTGATCAACATTTGGTGGCTACCATGTCAATTTTTTTTATTTCTTCGAGAAAATCAATTTAAACCAAATAAATGGGACTATTTTATTTTTTAAAAAGTTATGTATATACATGTATTTTCTCCCAGCATATAAAAAACACATATATTATTATAAAAACTTCATTATTTTTTTATATATGGTATTTTTTAGGCCTTTTTTTTCCTTTACTAAAATACTACTTTATTACTTTAATATTCTATAATTATTGCATTATCATAATATATCATGAAGTTTAAATTTTTAAATAAAATCAAATCAAACTAATATTGAATCAAAGAAATAAGAAATGGAAGTGAGAGGAGAAGGGCCTAAAAATGAAAGATATTTTCCCTTTCCAAAATACTTACTATCTCTTTTTCTTTATCTAGAAACCATGTTTACATTTCTTTCTTTATAGTAGTCTTTTTCAAAAATGAAATTGAATAAATTTTACTCTTCCGGTCTTAAATATAAGACCCTTTTCGTAGTGTAAATTGTGCTACGAAAGGGGTCTTATGTTTAGGACCAAAGGAGTATTGATTTTATTCGTAATATTTTTCCTCATTTGGTGAAACCATTTTTATAATGGAGAGGGCTTCCAAATATTATTTGGCACGATATAATTAATCTCTTTTTATTGTCATAATTTTCCCCAGTAGAATCATTCATTCTTTTTTTTTTTTTAGAGTTATGTAATTAGTAGTTGGCAAACAAAAAGAGTTATGTAATTATTCTATATCTTATGCTACTTTGTAATTTTTTTAAGAATTAGGCTACATCTAGTATTTGTTCTCAAGTAATTTTATAGCCCTAAACTAAAAAAGTGTTTGGCTATTACCAAAAGCACTTCCTAAAAGCATTTTTTTTTTACAAAACGAGATAAACTCCTCCACATATCTGTTTCATAAATCATAAAAGTACTTTTAAAACCATGATTTGATTTTCATCTAAATACCCCTTAATTTGTGATTCATCAAGATCATTCTAAAATATTTTTGTAGTTATACTTAGTATCCTAAATTTATGACATTTATTGCTTCTAAGAAGAATATTTTAAGAATAAAATTATATATAATTTAAAATATTAGGTAGTATTAAAAAATATATTTTAGGATGCTTAATAAATTATAAATTAATTTAATATACTGAGTAGTATTAAGAAAATACTTTAAGATCTTTGATGCCCTCATCTTTTAATATCATTTTCTTCTTTTACTTTAAAAATGGTAGGTTAAAGCCCTTTTTACCGTGATCAATTAAGGGAAAATCCTAAAAAAGTCATAGTTGAATTTTAAAATTTCAAATCAGTATTAATTACTGCATTCATAAAGAAATGACTATATTCAAAGAGCAAATGACAACACATTTTTATAGTAATTTCTGATTTTAAATTTTGAAATTCAGTAGTAGTATTTTTTAGGATTTTCCCATCAATTAATGTCCTTCTCTTTTTAAGTTTCAAGTAATTGTGAACCATTCAATCCAATGATTCTCGCTGTTTAAAAAATTCACCACCCCAAATCGTGACACGTATACCCTTCTTTTCTCTAAGATCGTTTTCTCAAAACTGCATCAGAAATGCGCTCTCAATAGCCAAACAGCCTCTTGGTCAAGGAAAAAAAGCCAAACAGTCCACACACTGTTTATGATGAGGTGTGTAATTGTAATCATGATTTAAAAGTAATTTTACAGTATACAAAATAAATATATATAAAAAAATTTATTTTAATTTGTAAAAAAATACTTTTAAGGATTAAGCCAAGGAAGATTGCGGGGAAAAAAAGAAAGAAAATGAGGAGCCGTTGCTTCAAAAAAAAATTTAATGGAATACTATTATAAAAACATTTGTTTGGTATAAAAACTAAAAAGGACAATTATGAAATAAAGGTACATTTTGGAAAAATGTGAAATAATATTTTTACCCTTGTGAAAGCAAAAAAGTAAAAATTGAGGGTATAAAGAGTACAGACCTTCAATCATTAGTTCACGAACTTCAGGCCAAAAAAAAAAAATCATTAGTTCACAAACGCCGGAATTCATATTACAAACAAGAAATTGGTTTCTTTATGTTTCTTTAACAAAAGAAAACGTTTAGAAGTGTTAGGTCGGAAACTAATTAGGGTCATATATTCTAAGTTCAAAAAAACACTTATAAAGATACTTATAGACCTCGTAGGTTATAATATACTCCTCTGGTCCTATTTATAAAATAGAAAAAAAATATTTTTTGGTCTTATTAGAGGGTATTAAGAAAAAAATTTTGTGTGAATACACAATTTTACTCTTCATTTATCATTGTGTTGACTTTGTTTACATGAGGTATAATATATATCACATAGGAATAAAATTGAAAAGTTGTTGAATTTTAAATAAAAGTTAATGAAATTTGTTTTTCTTAATCTATATGAAACATGTTAGAAGTGACTTATAATTAGAGTTAAATAAATATCTTCTTACTAATTAGACCAACATTTTGCTAACAAAATATGTTAAGTGTTATTTGAGCCAGACAACTTTATCATGCATTGAAAAGTTAGTGATTATTTGTAAATTATACAAAAGGCGGATAATTTAGATTTTATTTGCATTTGCTTAACCTACTAAGTTTTGTTAAGGTCAAGAATATCAATATCAATATGAAATATGAAATATAAATCAGCCCAAAATTTTTATAATAAAAAAATATTACCGATGATAATTAGACAAAATAGAATAACCGTTAGAGGAACTACTAGCAGTACCTTGATAATGTTTCAATTTAAGTGCTTGTTTGGCATCAATTGTGTAAATATTTATAAACGCGAAAACTCTTGTTGCAGAGAAGGCTTAAACTGATTAACAAAGACATTTGCAAAATATCATCAACTAATGCAGGCTGGTTTGAATTAAATTTGGTAAAAATAAATTTTATTCCCATTCACCTTTGCAAATTGAAATTGAGATAAAAATCAAATAATATATTGTGATTTATATTTGAATAAACTTTTTAATTTAAGAGAAACTTATTTTGATGATGCAATAAAAACTTCGTTTCATAACTCACAAGCTTGTAAGTTTGAATTTTACTACTAATATGAAGACTTTGTTAGTGGCTGATCTATAAATATCTTTATAAGCACTATCTGAACTTAAAGCCATACCCAGACCTAGGTGAACACACAGAACCCAACTCACATAAACTTTTATTCATAAGGTTCAAATTTGAGAAAAAAAGAAAAGAAGCCAAAAGCCAAAAATAAAAAAGGACTCTCCCAATCATTATTATAAGCATTAAATAAGTAATTCACATATAATAGCAATAATTAAAAGTAATAAATAGGTTAGAAATATACTTTTATTTTCAAATATGCTTTTATAATAAATAAGAAAATGGACGAAAAAAGAATGTATGAGAATATGTGATAAAAGAGAGTATAACAAATAAGAAAAAGTAAATAATTAAGAGACAAAATTGGGCAAAATATATTAGATGTTAAGATAAACTCATATTGAAGTTTATAAAATGGATCACATCTCTTTCTAAATTTAAAACTTACAAATATGACCAGAGGAAGTATTTCAAATTTCAGATGGTTTTTTGCTGAAAAGATCAGTTAATCTTTCAGTCAACTTTTTTTTTTTCCTCCCATTTTTCCTATACATGGTTAGGATGAATTGATCGGCTAAGAGTGATCATGCCATGTCATCTGGTAGAACGAGTAAAACAATAACGCGCCATGATAACAATAAATCAATCAAAATTAATAGCATTGCTTTTCTTTTTCTTTATGATAAAATTGATGTGAACTCATAGACTAATTAAGTCCAATGAAATAAACAGATTAATCAAGAAGATTTAATTGAGGCAGTTGTATGATTCTATCAAGAAGCAAGAATAACGTTTGATAATGTCAAAAGAAGGCTTATGGCCTCATAGAACGACGTGTCTTGTCACAAAGAAAGTTGTGTTACCTGTTTTTCGCTTTTAGTCAATTTTTACTTTTATTTACATTTTATCAGTTTTATAATTAACTATTAATCTTTCAGGGAAATTACTGAAAAATCTCCAATTTTTTCAAGATTTATTGCCTAAAGTACCTAAAATTTGTTTAATAACTTGGCTGCAACTGATTGCGTCTCTGTTACATATCCACTCAAAAGACCTGAATCTTTACTACTGGACAGTAAATTTTGTAATGGGAAATTTTTTAGTAATCAGTCTTCAGTAAAGCTTTTTTTTTTTTTTGGTCAGCAGTTTTCAGTGAAGCTCTACTTCCTTGTGTCCTTCTTATCCATTTAAAGTATTATTTTTAAATTGTCCCTTCTTTTGATATTTTCTAACAAAATAAACAACCTAACCTAATTAATGAATTTCACTTGCTATTGAAATTTGAAAGCATGATCTGATTTAATTAAATTTAATTTCCATGTAATTTTAATAAATCCATATTTATACGCGCGCACACTATTGTTTTAAAACTATTCCATTGTCATTCTAATTTACCCAAAATTGTATTATTCATAATTTATAAATATTATAACTTGTGATAAAATTTGGAGAGAATTATAAAGAGATCCCAAAAAAATTTAATTACCAAAACATCTCAATGATAAGTAACCAACCTGAATCTATTTGTCATTATTTACTCTAAAATTATTATTTATTCTTGTGAATAGATTTTAAGGTAATTAAATTCTTTTCTTAGCACCTGATTGTAATTCTCCTACGATTTATTGTTTTTTATTCTGACATATTCATACTATTATACATATTTGGATATTATGGTAAAATAATTGTGACAACCATTTTCCATCTCCAATAAATTTCCACGAAAGTATACATTTTCAAGTAGTTGACATGATAATACCATCTTAACTAATCGGTATGCTACATTTCAACCAAACTAACACCAACGCATACAAACATCCGCATACAAATTCCAATTTCTTATGGGCATAATTAATTTCAAAATAAAAAATATAATTTTATTTCTGGCTAGTAAAATGATTTTATTTTAAGATGCAATATAAGAAATGCCTCACTAACAAAGGCTAGTTTAAAAACTAATAGATATTGAATATTCAATAATTTTTTTATTACAATATGGATGACTGAGATTTGTTTGCTAGTGATGGAGTTTGTTTTGATTCTTAATATGAAATTTTAATTTATTTTATTTCTTGTAGTTATTAGTTTTTAAAAAACTAGTTTATCTAAATTATAAATCAATATATAATTTAATGTTATATAATGATATTTTAGGAAGATCATGTTATGTTTATTAGAATTAAATAACTTATTTAATTTTATTAATCATCTCAAATTAATTAAGTAACTTACACATTAAATCGAGAGGTAATATTCAGACCCGAAAATGTAGCATTTGAGCTTGATATTTAGAGGCCTGTGGGAAAATACATTAGAGATTCATACTTCTCACCAGGAAAAAAATTACAGTAACATATTTATTTTTTCTTTTTGATGGATAATATTTTTTTTATTTGTGTATAGAGAATTAAATAAAAATAAGATTCAACCATGTGGTCCAAGTGTCTTTGAGACATTTCTAGAAGAAATGGTGGCTATTATGGAACAAAACATGAAAACAACTTCTGCAGTATTGTGAGGACCACTTTCAGTGAGAGGGCAATATTTAGAAGAAAAAATTACCATCCACAATAAGTTCAAATATTCATATTAACATTTTTTTAATTTTGAAAAAAAAACAAAGGAAATTATTGTCATATTTAAATTTTAAATGCTTTGAAATTGAAATGTTTTTCAAATTTAGACTTTTGATGTAAATATTTTTTATTCCAAAAATTTAATTTTATTGTAATTCTTTCTATCTAATTGCAGTAGAAAAAGTTGATTGGGTTTTCTACAAAAATCAATCAAAATTAGAACTATAAACTAATCTAAATTTAAATTAAGTTGGACTTCAGTTTCAATAAAAATTAACAGTAATAAAGAAAAGAAGTTAAAATGGTCATAAAAAAGAGAAGCTAAAATTAGAAGAGAAAAGAAGAAGAAAAATATTCTTTTTCTGTTCAGATAGCAAAAGAAAATAGCCACTTTAGCCAGATGCTTTCTCTCCAAAGTATTCCTTTCTTCAAAAGTTATAGTTGTTACTGCAAAAATAATTCACAAATTCTTCTCATTAGGAGGAATTTTGTTTCGGTCATGATGGGGTACTAAGTAAAGTAAATATGAACGTTCCCTTCAGTGATAATTCAAACATTAATTTATTATATTGTTTTTGTTTTTAAGTATAAGAGTTAGTTGACTAATTTGAATAAATTAAAGAAGCTAGTTAAGTTAATTATTTATAATAAATAGATATTATCTTTTCTAAAATATCTTTACTAATCAAGTGTATTGACTAGAGTTATTATTATTACAAGAACTACTTTAAAAAATAAATAAATATAGAAAATAAAAAGGATTAAAATCTTATATTTAAAATTAAAATAAAAATCAAACTAATTTTTATATTAATAACTAGAGCTACTATTAGTTATCATTTGCTTTTTTTTTAAACGATATCCAACTCTCAATTATTGCAAAGCTAATCATTCTTTTGCTTTCTTCTTCTTCTTTTTCCCTCTTCCCTTTTTTTTTTTTAAAAAAATTTTTTACATCCAAACATTGCATTGGCCTTAGGTTCTCCCCGGCGACACGATTCATAATAAATCAATGAGTATTAAATGTAAAGTAATGACCTTTTATTGCACATCGTACGATGAATCTGACGGTTGAAATAGGAACAGAAGGAAAAGGTTCCAGAAAAGGCATACCATATGGATCAACTTTAGGACTTTGTCTGTGAAATTTTCCCGGCATTTGGCAGCTACAATAATAATAATAATAATATTGAATTAGTCAAAACAAAATTAATCATCACAAAAAAGCTATTTTTTTAATATATTAGATGGGCCCAGGAAAATAAAGTTTCCTTAGTGGGAGGGCAGTAGAATCAGATTCTCGGGAAAGGCATTTCTTCTCTTTGCCCCTTTTTATGTGAATTTCTGTTTCAGTGGAAATTCCAGAAGGATCCCATTCCTCTCACGTCATTGGTTCTCCATTGCTAGAGACGAACAGTCTCTCACACTAATTAAAGATAAATAAATAAATAAATAATAGGATTAATTTAAAAAAAAACTGAAAAAATTTAAATTTTTAATAAAGCAAAACATATGTTAAAAACAACATTAATAAAACATCACAGTCAGATTGAGTACAAGGGACTTATTAAGGCCTCGAATTAGAATATTTTTAGATGAAAAAACATGCTTAAAAATGGCTTCATTGAAGGTCCAATAATATTTAAATCAATATTAATTAATAATAACACATACTCGATGTTTTTACCAAAAAAAAAAACAAAGCACATATTCGATGCTTTTAGAAAAACAAAAATTAATTAATCAGGTATATATTGAAGGAGTGGTCCCTTGCTAAGCGAAGCTCTAATACTCACATGTGTAAGCTGGGCCTTGTGGGCAGCCCATATTTAAATCATAGCATATGACTCAGGGCTTGGACCGTTATGGATATGTGTTCTTATTTTTTGAAGAAAACTACAAACAAGTCTCACGTAAGCAAAATTAGTCACTAATAAATTCTTCAAATTCCACTTTATTTAGATTAATAGGTCTTAAGAAGCCTAGGTATTATTTGTGCAAGATGAAAAGACTTTCTTACCCCCATTCAGATTTGAATAAGAGAGGTTAGGCTCTAGAGAACCTCATGCTTGATACCAGATATGAATGCAAAGGATATGACTGGCACTAGACATCATACTACCGCCTATTCTCTCTCTCTCTCTCTCTCTCTCTCTCTCTTTTATCAATAAAAATATTAATTTTAATTCTAAATATAAAATTTTTTATATTTAAGACCGAAATAATATAATTAAAAGATTCTAGTTTGCGAAACAAAAAAAATTGAGAGAAAGAGGAGTTTCGGAAGCATAACGTCCAGCATTAGGGCACAAGATATGAGGACTTCAAATGAAATTTCAAATAGCCAAACTAAATAGAACATAAATCTAACTTGCTTCTAGCCTTTTATCCTTATCTTTGAGTTGGGAGATTTCAAAATTGGGACTTATGTATGATTTGAAAAGTTTAGAAAGTTTCTGCAGTTTGTTTTGGATTTACATGAGTTATTAGGACTAAATTAAATGTGTAGTCAGTTTAATTTCTTTTTTTTTTTTGTGATGTATGAGTTGGGTGTTTAAAAGTTAGGGTTTGATGTTAAATTAGGGTTTAAATTAGATAATGATGATTTCACGGTTATGATTTTCTGAAGTTGAGTTAAACTTTTTAAAAAAAAAAATGAAAAGACAATGTATATAAATAATAAACAGCAGGGTTTAAAATACCACATTAGAATAACTGGATATAGAAATAGAAAAAAGTTCCTAACTTATCACTGTTAGAAGAACAAATATCATAAGTTACACAAGACGCTGATTCAAAATTGGAGACGTTAAATAAGAAGGCACCGTTACACAAGCCTGCTTCTATCAAGCATAAAGGAAGGGATCTTTTGAAAAACCGAACATGGGTCCCAGTGAGGCATTCACCCAAGGAAAACCAATCCTCTCAGGCAGCAAAAGATAAAGTCAAAGCTTCAGTGCTCCCAGCATGGGCTGGACCCTTGTACTCTAAGACAGATGGGCCTGACAATCACTTTCTGGACTCACCAAATCCGTTCAGCGTCCTCACATATGCTAACCAGTGCGAGCCCATGATAGAAGAACCCAAACTGAGCGACGACACCACTCCACAGGTTGAAACGATAGCAGATTTAAAGACGAAACCAGACCAGAACAAAGAAGCGCCCTCTACCGCCACCAACTCTATCTCTCAGGGGTCTATAAGCGAAGAATCCCCTATCACAAGTGATCCATGAATTGCCTTTTCTGGAACTGTAGGGGTACGGGGTCCCGAGCTCTTCCGGGACTAATCAAAGAGTTACGTAAGTGGTATTCTTTTGACCTTCTTGCTCTATTTGAAACAAGAGCCACTGATGTCAAGGTGCAAGAATGATGTAGAAACCTGGGGTTCGAACACTACTATATCATTAATGCAAATGGTTATAAAGGTGGTCTTTGGGTAGCTTGGAATGATACGGGGCTCAACTTGAATATTATCTGCACCTCAGATCAATTTATTCACATGGAAGCAGTCAAAGGAAACGATAAAATCTTCATCACCTCGGTGTATGCTAGTCCAAACCCAAACCTCTGGAGAAACTTATGGGAGAGCCTAGAACAATGCCAACTGGACGATCAATGGCCCTGGTTTATTAGGGGAGACTTCAACGCCACTCTCTTCTACCATGAACGTCGTTCAAAAGCACTACACACAACGCCGCTTGATAAGTATTTTCTCTCTTGGATGGAATGCATGAACCTGCATGACATAGGCTGTACCGGTCCTTTCTTTACTTGGAAACGCGAGGGGTGCGAAAGTCGAATAGACCAAGTTCTTGGGAATAATAAAGCTATGGAGATTTTTAACGAGGCACTGGTTAGACACTTACCTTGGTTCAAATCAGACCACCGACCTATCCTCCTCCACATGATTCCGGAGAGTAAGAAAACTCTAAGAGATCGACCCTTCCGTTTTGTTGCGTCATGGGCTCTCCATGAAGACTTCTCCCGTCTCACGAAGGAGGCTTGGGACCCCAACGCAAGCTGGCAGGAGAATGTACAGGTGTTCACTGATGAGGTAAAAAATTGGAGCCTTAATGTTTATGGGCACCTGTGGAAGAAGAGAAACCGAATCATGGGGCGGCTGGAAGGCATTGACAAGTCCATGAAAAAGTTTGCCTCTTCCTCTGATTTGGAAAGCCTCCAGTGACAATTGTGGTGGGAGCTTGAGGACATTCTCATTCATTTAGGAAAACCTTCTTTGGGCCCAAAAAGAAAAAGCATCTTGGTTCTCTTTGAGGGACAAGAATACAAAATATTACCATGCACGCGCCAATAGAAGAAAGAAAAGGAACAGGATTGTGACCCTCCAAAATGAAGCAGGCGAATGGGTTGATGATCCCGAGGCAATAAAAAACATAGCTACTGATTTCTTTATTAACCTCTTCAAAGAAGATAGTCAAAGCTCTCGCTTAATTACTTACGGCTTACCCACAGCTTGACTCTTCCTTGATTACGGATATGGGCAAGGAGGTCACCATTAAAGAAATTAAAGCCGCCGTATTTGATATGGGGGCTCTGAAATCTCCTGGACCTAATGGCCTCAATGCTCTCTTTTTCCAACACCAATGGAATACTTTGTGGCCTACTGTTGCCAAAACCATTAAAGATTGCTTTGCTGACCCTACCATTATTCAGACATTGAATCATACCTTCATTGTTCTCATTCCCAAAAGGGAGTACCCGGAGACCATTCGGGATTTTCGCCCTATTAGCTTATGCGATGTCATTTATAAGATTATTACAAAAACCATTGCTAACCGCTTGAAATGTTGTTTGTCTCAGGTCATTTCTCCCAACCAGTGTAGCTTCGTTCTGGGGCGAAATAATTCTGACAACATTATTGTGGCGCAGGAAGTGATTCACTCAATGAAAAATATGAAGGGGAAAAAGGGCTTCATGGCCATTAAAATTGACCTCGAAAAAGCCTACGATAGAACCCGATGGGACTTTGTCATGAGATGCCTCCATGAAATGGGCATCCCCGCCGAATTGCATGAGGTGATCCAAGCTTGTATATCTTCATCGTCCATGCAAATCCTGTGGGAAGGTAGTAGAGCAAAGAAATTTTTACCTTCACGGGGCTTGAGACAAGGAGATCCTATTTCTCCATATCTCTTTGTTATTTGTATGGAGAAGCTGGCACACTTTATCCAGGAAGATGTGCTTTCGAGAAAATGGAAACCTATAAAACTAAGTAAGAATGGCCCCCCATTTCACATTTATTTTTTGCTGATGATTTAATGCTTTTTGCAGAGGTGACTATGGAACAAGTTGAAGTCATAAAGCACTGCTTAGAAGCTTTTTGCTCCATCTCCGGACAGCGAGTGAATGCCAGCAAGACCAAAGTCTTCTTCTCAGCAAACATAAATCATACTCGATCCTCACAAATGAGTGCGGCCCTTGGCTTCTCAAGTACAATGAACCTGGGAAAATACCTAGGGGTTCCCTTACATCACGAGCGGGTTAAATCATATACCTACCACTTCCTGCTAGATAAGATTCGAAGCAGACTCAACAATTGGAAGGTATCCAGAACCTCCTTAGCGGGACGCGACACTTTGATTAAGTCAGTCATCTCAGCCATTCCTTCCTACACAATGCAAATAGTGAACTTGCCAACCTCAGTATGCTAGAAGATTGAACAACACTCAAGAAACTTTTTATGGGGCTCCTCGGACGAAAAACGACTCATGCATCTCCTCTCTTGGGACAAAGTTTGCAACGAGAAGAGGCTAGGAGGGTTAGGCATGAAGCACATCCGACAACAAAACAAAGCCTTTATGATGAAACTTGGTTGGGTTTTGGTGAATGACCGAAAGTCTCTTTGGGCCAAAGCTGTTAGAGCAAAATATGGGTGTGGTGATGACCTACTGCCTAGGATAAATATGAAGAAGCGTGGGTCGAATACTTGGAGTGGTATTAAACAGGTATGGAATAAAGTCAAGGAGCGTATACAGGTCATAAATGACCATCACGGTGTGGAAAGAGCTCGATGGAAATGGAAAAAAAGTGGTGAGTTCTCCGTTCGCTCCGCATATCGAAGCCTCAATGCCAATGATAACATTCCTGCTGGTAATTGGAAGGATTTGTGGAAACTCAACATCCCACAACGGTGCAAAACATTTGCCTGGCTGATGCTGCATGAACGGCTCCTCACAAATGAAGTAAAACACAAACGAGGTCTACATGATAACGGAGCTTGTATCCGATGCAAGAACCACTCAGAAGATGTGCTCCACGCCCTCAGAGATTGCCCAAGGATTAGAACGTTGTGGGAATCAGTGATTGAACAGAAATTTCAGCAACGCTTCTTCACTTCATCCATGCAAGACTGGTTCCAACTCAACCTGAAGTGCAACTTGAATGGAGGCAAGGGTTATTGGAAAGGTTTGTTCATTATTATCTATTGGTTGATCTGGCGAAACCGAAATGAACTCCAGCACGCAAACAGCACCGCCGAAACAGATAAAATCTTGAACCATGCATGTGCGATCTTAGACTGTATGAACAAGACTTCTCACAAGCTCAGCAACGTCAACCTGGACAAGAACCAGCGACCTCTTACCGCAGCCTCTGGTCCGGGCACGGAAAGTAGTACTATCATAGAAGTGGATGGCGCTTTCTCCTACGCGAGCAATGCTGCAGCTTGCGGAGGAGTTCTAATGGACTCTAATAGAAACATCTATGAAGGATTCATGTCTCGCTTACAAGCAGGCGACAATCTCACTGCGGAACTCTAGGGCTGCCTCCTTGGTATGAAACGGGCATGGGACTCCGGCTTCAGAGACGTGATACTCAAGACAGACTCGTATGATGTCTTCCAACTACTGAACAACGCTACGCCGGAGCTGCATGAGGACTGGTCTCTCATTGAGGAGATAAAAGGGATGATTGCACGAAGCTGGAGGTTTGACTGCCAGCTTATTGCTAGAGATGATAACCTTATGGCAGACGCTCTAGCAAAGAGAGCCTTGAATGATAACCCGGGTATCCTTATCCTGGGCCCCGACACTGTTCGCAACTTCCTGGACCTCGAAGGAATAGGATAGTCCTGCTGTTTTTCTATGTTGCTTTTGATTTCCCTTGTATAAAAAAAGAACAAATATCATAAGTTAAAATTTGAGCCATAGGACCTTTTCTTTGTTCATTAATATGCATTCTTTCTATGCAGGATCTTCCTCTACTATTGTACAAGACATTTTGATGATGCTCAAGAAGTTAAAGTTTAATCAATTTTGCTTGTTAATTAAATTTAAAATTTATAAATCAATATGTTGATTGAAACTCTGAGTTCAAAATTTAAAGACTTACTATAATTTGAGAATTTATTGGTCAATTAGAGATTCAAATGTGTTATCTGAATTAAAGGAGTGATTGGATTTGAGATTTGAATAAGGAATTGAGAATTTAGAGATGAGAAGTGGGAATTAAAGGCAGAAATTGGGAATTTTAAGTTATGCAGCTAAATTAAAATTTAATTAGCTCATATGTTGATAGGTGAATGCATGATTATTATGCAGATTGATCTTGATTTCAGGGTGATTGGCATTTTTTCCCCCTCAATATCGCTAACTCTATGTTTGATATGTGGGAATTGGAGGAGAGGTGAGGGGAGAGAAAAATTTAATGATCTCAATTTAAAGAATTAGGGAAGTGAGGTTATAAAATTTTGATAAGGAAAGAACGCAGAATAAAAGAATAAAAAAATTAATTACTCATCTGGTTTTTAATATAAAACCCATTTAACTAATTTGATTAGATTAAAAAAGTTAGGTAAGTTAGTTAATTATAAGAAAAATAACACATTTTTCTTAAAAGAATATAATCATCTTTTTTTAATACTTCTTCTTCCTCTTCTATTTGATTATGGTTGAGGGAGTATCCATAGGGATAATTTAGAGAAAACTGATAAATATGTGAAATGAGTCTTGTATTTAGAATCAAAATCAATTTAAAAATTGGGTCATATATTAAGGACCAGAGGAGTAAAACTTTTAATCCTATTTCATCAATTTTTCAAATCAAAATCATTAAAAATTTTCCTGCCCCTTCGCTTTCTTTCGTTACATTTTCCTTATACCAAACAGACAAAAACCTAAAATCATTAGGATTAATTTATTTTGCATATATGCATGATTAGGATTGCCAGTGTAATTTGATGTACGAAGATATATTCATACATTGTGAAATTTGTAATTGGTATATTTGTGACAAATCTTATTATATGAATATTTCGCACTCGTTAAAAATATGACTTTTCAACAAAAATTTGATTTTGAGCATACAATGAAATTTTGTGAGTTTGTTTTCATAATTTTAACCATATTTAGTTAACAGTGCATGAGATAAATAATAATCTAATAGTAGATAGTTTCGACAGAAGAATACAAATGCCCTAACACAGGAGATCTGATCTTATTAATTATCTATATATATCTGACAAAAATAATAAAATATAAAAACTCCATTATTTATAAATTTAGAATAGTGACCCACCGCATGCTCTATAAAGTATTGATCTGTAATCAATTTTTATTCCGAAAATGACATGTAATAAAAAGTTGGTCTCTTTCCTTATTATTTTTAATTTTGAAATATGAAAATTACTTTTACTCAAAATTTACTTGTGAGAGGAAAAATACCCCATAATTTTTTTTTTGCTCTTGAAAATAAGTGGGAAAAAACTTCTCCAATTTGCTCTTAGATTTTAATCTTCAAATAACTCAGAATAATTTCTAAAATTAACGATCCTTCAATGTAAAAATATCTTAAACACAAATTTCTCTTTCATAATTTTATCCTTTTATCTTGGGAAAGAATGAAAGATGGGAACATACGAAGGTCATAATAAAACAGTAGTGGTTAAGTGTAATCCACGTGGATGGAAGCGACATGAGATGAGGATGGAAGTAACTAGTTTTCATTGGTCCAAAATCTATCCACGATAGCTTCTCAGATTTCTTCTGCAGATTTTGTTGTCCGATTTGGCCCTCTAAGGAAACCCCTTTAGATTTTCTCAATCGCACACTCCCATACATAAAACTCTCACTATCCCCAAAGAACATACTTCAAGCAATCTGTCTCCGTTATTTTCTCTCATCTTCTCGAGAAGGGTTTCAGGGGAAGCGAGAGTCGGAGGGAGAAGAAATGGCAGGTGCTGCAACATCTGGTGCTGTGTTGAATGGGTTGGGATCTTCCTTCTTGTGCGGAGGAAAGAGAAGCCAATCTCTTTTCTCTGCTAAATCTAACGGTGCTGCTAACAATGCCGTTGGCCCTAAGAAGTTCTTTGTAGCTGCTGCTGCTATTCAACCCAAGAAATCTTGGATCCCCGCTGTTAAAGGCGGTGGCAACTTCATCGACCCCGAATGGCTAGATGGCTCGTAAGTCCCTCCCATCTTGTTTTCACACATTTTCCTGGAAAATTCTCAAGCTTACGTCACAAAAGATAGCTTAAACAAATCAGTCATGAAAAGATACTTTAACATATCTCTATATCAGACATAGATCCCCTTCAAACTAATTGTGCATGATGTGATCTGATATCCGATATCTCCTTGTGAGACTTTTATTGTACCTCAGTTTTTCTGCTCCTATGTTCATTGATCAATCCCTGTGCAAAATTTGCATTTGCAGGCTCCCAGGTGACTATGGCTTTGACCCTCTTGGCCTGGGCAAGGATCCAGCATTTCTGAAGTGGTACAGAGAAGCAGAGCTCATCCATGGCCGGTGGGCGATGGCGGCGGTCGTCGGAATCTTTGTTGGCCAGGCATGGAGCGGAGTTCCCTGGTTCGAGGCCGGTGCTGACCCTTCTGCCATTGCTCCTTTCTCCTTTGGCTCACTTCTGGGCACACAGTTGCTGCTTATGGGGTGGGTAGAGAGCAAGAGGTGGGTGGACTTCTTCAATCCTGATTCACAATCAGTGGAGTGGGCCACGCCGTGGTCGAGAACAGCCGAGAACTTTGCCAACGCCACCGGCGACCAGGGATACCCTGGAGGCAAATTCTTCGACCCATTGGGGTTTGCAGGCAAAATCAAGGATGGGATTTACATTCCTGACAGAGAAAAGCTGGAAAGACTCAAACTTGCTGAGATCAAGCATGCTAGGATTGCTATGTTGGCTATGCTCATTTTCTACTTTGAAGCTGGACAAGGGAAAACACCCCTTGGTGCTCTTGGCTTGTAAACAAAACATTAATGTGTAGATAATTGAAATTGAAGCTAGACATTTTGCATATGAATCTCGTCTTGTAGGGGTACTGAGTAGTTCCCCCTAAGAAATTCAAATTGTGTGTTCTGATCTTGGAGTTGCATGCATGAGCGTGAATTGTGTAATGATGCATGATTGTGATTGTGAGGAGATATGGGAAACGCATAGTTAGGTTTATATGAAATCAGTGTCATCTGATGTGCTAATGATCCTTTGTCAGAAGCAAGAGGATTGACAACATACAGAAAAGAATTCTAATGCAGACTAAGTTTGCCAAACTTAAATAAACCTAGTTGGTCTTGATGGTTATGAGAGCATACTAAGCAAATTCTTCAACAAGAACTACATGTATCTTTAATTAGTTGGATCTATTGGTATTCTACAAAACAAAACTACTTGATCTTTTAAAAATGTCATCTAATTTCTAAATATCGTATCAGATGCTAATCAAATCCCTTCATCGACTTAAGTTTGATAAAGAAAAGAAAACTACCAGAAAGTCAAGCTATATCTTGTTGGATGTTAAGGCATCCTTAAAACTGGAAAATACAACAAAATGCACATAAATCCTCGTCATCCTCAGCAAAGCCAGACCATTGATTAAGTAAAGATGTTGAACACAAGACAACTATAGTAATAATGATGATGAAACAAAAAGCACAATAAATTTAGATAGATTTGACTTGAAACTGTACATGTCTATTCCAGCAAAGAAGAAATTCTCATGAGAACCTCCCTCTTGAGGTTGCCACATCACGAAGCATCCAACTTGTGCCATAGCCTGCATCAGAAGAGTCTATCACATTCATCAATATTAAAGCAGTTAGATAGAAAATTCTATATACTACTGAAAAGTTTTCTTGTTTTTCAGGATTTAAATTGTTCCAATGCCTGAAAACATCTAAATCACGAGTTATTTTTGTTTTGGTGTTTTCAAACCGAAATTCAAGGTTCTGGAATTTAGCTCCAAGTTCATTCAATGAGTGAAGTTAAGAAAATAACGACATTGAAATAATAAATGATCTTGAACTTTTAAGGAGAAACGAAGGACTGTGGTATACTTGTGCAATCAAGACGATGTTGGAACAATCGCGTTGTATCTGCAAGTTGCAATAACTTTTGTCTCAAGAATTAAGCAATAAGCAATCAGAATAGCTAGGCGCATCATTTATGTTTTCACAAAAAGGACACAAATTTCAGGAGGCATAGCTAGAAACCGGGTTCCGTTCAGACGGCGTACAAGACTATCGGTTACAAGAGGGCCAGAGGGGGTAGCTCCAGCATTGGACTACCTGCACCAGAACGCCAACTGGCACCCCAACATCGTCCCTCATTGAAACTTGAAGTCCTCAAACGTCCTCTTTAACAAAAACCACGAACCCCTCGTCTCCGACTACGGTCTCGCCTCCCTCATAAACCCAGCAACTCAACGCATGGTCATATTCAAATCACCGAATACGAACACACGAAAACACCCAAGAAGTAATCTGAAGTTTGGAGCTACGGCTTGCTTCTCATCGAACTCTTAACAAGCAGAGTATCTACGCGCACGGCGCCTTCAGGTGTTCAAGGATTGGATCTCTGAAAATAGGTTAGCAGAGCGGTGAGAGAAGAAAGGCGGCTGAGATTTTCGACGACGAGATTGCTGAGGAAAGAAAAGCTCTTTCTGGGATGCTGAGGGTGCTCAAGATAGCGAATCATCACATCAATATATGAAGATTGAATTGAGATTCCGGCTTGAGCCTAATCGTAAGTGTTTAGAATACGTGAGAATGATATCTTTTTTTTTTTGGTGAAAGAACAGGGGCCCAGCCCATTACATTACACGACTATTACAAATAGAAAAAACTCTTCTGGGAAACTTAGTTCCAGCTAAGTCTTCCTCGAGTATGCTCCGTACTTCAGGCGGTGGAGTGTCCTAGATGATTCTTGGTGATTCAATCTGTAGGCTAAGGTAAGCAAGTTTGTCCGCTGCTCGATTTCCTTCTCTAAAGACATGACTGATTTTGATTTGCCAATCCCCTTGCATCATCTCCTAAATTTCCTGGAAAATATGAATATGTCGGCTTCTCTCTTTGTTCTGCACTAATAGGTCCACCACTTGCTTCGCATCGCTTTCCACTTCAATTTTCTTGAATCCCATGTGTCTGCATATTTTTAGTCCTACCAAGATACCCCACGCCTCGGCCTCCATCACCCCACATCTTTGTAGCTGCACCGAGAAGCCTTTTAGCCATTCTCCACCATCTCCCCTTATTGCTCCACCGCATCCTACTTTTCCTTCATCTGTGCACATTCCGTCCGTGTTCAATTTACACCATCCTAGCTGAGGGGGTTTCCAAGAAATTCGTTCCTTTCTCATAACAATTTCCTCTATGGATTCCTTTTCCCAGCTGTGGTGATAATTAGCCAAATAGTTATAGACCTCCTTTTCCGACTCTCGTGGTAAGTTGAAGTCCTGTTCATTTATTTGTAGGTTCCGCCATCTCCATATAAACCAACAGCATGTTGCAAATTTCTCCGCCCAACTGATGTCCTCCTCTTTTATGCTTTTGTCGTTAAGATTCCTTTGTAACCAATCATGCCATTCATCTCCCAAGAACTCCACCCTTTTGCTAAATGGCAATAATCTTCTCCATATGACTGTGGCATACGGACAGTCCCTCAGTGCATGGATCAGAGTTTCCATTTTCTGTTGACATAAGTCACAGTGCTGACTTCCTCCATTCCACTTACTTGTGATCTCCTTAGTGGCTAGCCTCCTATGAACCATCCTCCATATAAATATTCTAATTCTTTCGGGCACTCTGAGCTTCCAAATCTGTTTCCAATTCCTCTGATCCGCAATATCAATGTCACTCCTTATTACCCCATAAGCACTGGCAGTAGTGAACTTCCCATTCCTTTCAGATTTCCATTTATACTGCAACGTGTGCTCTGTAAGTTCATTGCTTACCCATCTAGTATCCACATTAGCTTGGAATATATCCCACATCCTGGTCAGATTCTTCCATAATCGAGAATCAGCTCCTTTAGCAATTAATCTTTCACCTGAACTTCTTCCTCTTCCATATTTTCCTATGATCACCTTTACCCATAAGTCCTCGGGGGATGTATGCATTTTCCATAGAAGTTTGGTTAGGAAAGCATCATTCATACATCTCAAGGACTTGATTCCCATTCCTCCAATATCTTTCGGTTGACACATCTTTTCCCATGCGAGTGCATGCCAATTTTTCTTCTCTTCCGAATCTCCCCAAATAAACTTCCGCTCCTCTTTTTCTATTTCTTCTATTATATTGTGTGGTATTCTATCATGTTGCATTGGGTACAGTGCCATGGAGCTAGTCACAGCTTTAACCAGTGTGATTCTTCCCGCCAATGCTAAACTAGCTGCCTTCCAACCACTTAGCCTTCTCTGCACTCAGTTAACCACATATCTATATTTTTGTTTACTGCTCCTAGGAAACACTATATCAGCACCGAGGTATCTACCAATATCCTCCACCTCCTTGAATCTGCTCCTTTGGCATATTGCTCTTTTAACCTGTTGATTTACATTGGGGGAGAAGTAGATATGGGTCTTGCTTTGACTCATCTTATGCCCTGAAATTTCACCACATTCCTGCAAAGAATCAAGAATAATGTCGATTTGGTTAGTTGATGCTTCTGCAAATAACACAAGGTCATCTGCAAACATCATATGGGAAATAATAGGTCCCGAATGACCAGCTTTTAATTCTCTCCACTGTTTCGCTCTCACTCGGTCTAGGATTAAATGTGTGAGTTTTTCCATGCCAATCACGAATAAGTAAGGAGATATGGGATCTCCTTGCCGTAGCCCCCTGGTCGGTATGAAGCTCTCAAGTTTCTCTCCATGCCACAGTATGTTTGTTTCAGCATTATCAACACAAGCCATGATTCTAACTATGAGTTCCTGAGGACAGTTTAGTTCATGTAGCACATTCCTCAAAAATTGCCAACTAATTTGGTCATAAGCCTTTTCCAAATCCACCTTAATTGCCATGTATCCCTTTTTCCCCTTCTTCCTCATCGAGTGAATCAGCTCATTGACAATGATGATATTATCATGAATATTCCGCCCTCGGACAAAGCTCACTTGAAAGGGTGATATAATCTTTTTCATGATCTGTTTTAGTCTTTTCACTAAGATCTTAGTAATGCACTTGTATGTTACATTACACAACGAGATAGGGCGCAATTGTGAGACTGCTTCTGGGCTTTCTACCTTTGGTATGACTGTAATAAGAGTCTTGTTGACCTCTTTTATACTTTCTGGATTCCTCCACATATTCTTCACTGATTTGCACACACTTTCTCCTACTACATTCCAGTTTCTTTGGAAGAAGGCTGCTGGAAATCCATCTATCCCGGGTGCCTTTAGACTTCCTATGGAGAACATAGCTTGCCTTATGTCTTCTTGTGTGATGTCTGCATTAATGCAGTCCCAGTCGATCTCCTCAATCCTCGGCCAGGAGTGGTCAGTTTGCACCCATCTTCTATTGAAGTCTTCTTCTTTGAACAGTTGTCTAAAGTAGTCATTCACTAAAGTTCCCACTTCCTTTTGTCCTTCCACCCATTGATTCTGTTCATTCTTCAGTATGGTGACTCTATTCTTTCTTCTCCTTACTTTGGTTTTAGTATGATAATAGGCCGTATTTCTTTCCCCATCTTGGAGCCATTTTGTCCTGGCTTTCTGAAACCACAGTGTCTCTTCATAGCTTAGGATTTCCGTCAATTCAGCTTGAAGATCTCCTTCTAACTTGTCTAGGTAGGGGTTATAACACTCATGCCCCTTTCGTTGGATACCTCCTAATCTTTTTAGTAGTTCTCTTTTCTTCGTAGCAATATGTCCAAAAACTTCTATATTCCAGACACTAAGTTTTTCCTCCAGTATTGCTAACTCTTTCCACACTTCCATGTCTCCATTCCAGTTACTTCTAATCATCTGCCCAAACTGTTTATGTTGTAACCAGGCAACCTCAAATCTAAAGGGTCTTGCACTTGGGTTGTTAGGTAGCCCATTAGTGTAAATAAGTAGAGCATGATGATCAGACTTCACTCCAGTACCAACTTTCACTACTGCTTCTCCAAAAACATTCCTCCAACTAATATTACACAGGGCCCGATCTAGCTTTTTGAAGAGCCTGCTTCCATGTCCCA